TCGTTTGCATGTGAGAGAGGTTCTTGGCATATTTGTGCGCTGTAGATATTAAACAAAAGCGGTGACAATATATGACCCTGTCGTACTCCTCTACGTATTTCTATTTCGTCCGATGTTTGGTCTTCTACCTTTATATTAGCTCGCTGATTCCAGTACAGATGTAATATTATTTGTATGTCTCTGGTGTCGATGTTCTTACCTTCCAGGATTTCTTTGAGTTGATTGTGGCGTACTTTGTCAAATGCCTTTTCAAAGTCTATAAAGCAGGCATGCACCTCTTTGTTAACATCTAGACATCTCTGTGTTAGGACATTTAAAAGGCAAAGAGAGCTTCTCTTGTACCTAATCCTTTCCTGAATCCCATCTGTGTATCGTTAATATCGATATCTAACTTTTGATAGATTCAGTTGTGGATGACTCTAAGGAATATTTTAGGCAGGTGACTCGTCAAGGAGATTGTTCGATGATCTGAACATTACATTGCCTTAGTTTTCTTCGGTATGGTGACAAACGTAGACAGCAACCATTCTTGAGGTATTATACCAGTACTGTATATTGTGTTGAATAGATGTAATATTATGGTTACGGATTTATCATTCAAAAGCTTCAACAGTTCTGTAGGAATTTCATCAGGTCCATTTGCTTTTCCATTTTTAGCGTTTCTTATTGCGTATTCTACTTATATTTTCAATATGTCTGGCCCAGTTGCATTGATTATCTGAGTTAAGTTGTTTCTATCGTCTTCAAATAATTCATTCAGGTATTCTGTCCATCTTTTTATTTTATTCTCTAGATCTACAATAAGATTTCCATCTTTGTCTTTAAGTTTACCTATTTGGCATTTCTTTATGCTTATTGAACGCATCGTACTTTTTCTCATAGGTTTCCATTTCTTCACACTGTTTTTTAATCCACTCCTGTTTGGCATCTTTTATTCTCTTTTTTATGTGTTTATTTATTACGTTGTATTTGTCTGGGTAATTCTTCAACTTTCTTCTTTGTTCCATCCAGTCTAGTATATCTTGTGTCATCCACCCCTTATTCTTTGTTGTTGTTTTTGTAAGATGTTTCTTTGCTGCTGTTTGTATAGCTGTATTTATGTACTTTAATTTTTGGTTAACGTTATTTGTATCGTTAATTTGTTGCTGCACTGAACGGAGATTTTCAATTATTTCTTCTCCTGTTTCTTGTCGTGTATTTTTGTTTCTAAGTTTATTTAAATCTAGTGCCTTTCTGTGTGGTCTTCTAATCTTTTTTGTTTCGCCTCTATCACAGTAACTACCGGGTTATGATCTGAGCCTATATTAGCTCCTGGGTACGTCTTAGTACATTTAACAGCATTACGATACCTCGTTGCTATCATAATGTTCTATTTGATTTCTCACTATTTTTTCTTTGGTATGTTGTGGAGATGTCTATGTATATAACCATCGAGGAGGTAATTTGAAAAAGGTATTTGTTATTACGAAGTCTTCACTTTGGCAAAATTGAATTAATCGATCTCCTCTGTCATTTCTGTTTCCAAGCCCATATTTTCCTACTTGTTCTCCTACCTTACCTTGACCCACCTTGGCTTTAAGATCGCCCATTATTCTGTTAATGTGTTGTTTTTTTATTGTTTTCAGTATTTCTTCTAAATCATTGTAGAATTGTTCTATTTCATTGTCATCTTTATCTGCTGTTGGTGCATAGACTTGAATAAGATTTATTATGTTATGTCTTTCTTTAATTTGTATTAATATTAAGTGCTCTGAATAAGAAGTACAGGTAACCAGAGAACTTTTTCATTGCTTTGAAATGATGATTCCAACTCCGTAACGATGGGTGTTGTTGTCGATTCCGGAGTAATAAAATACGCCATCATTTCGTGTTGAACATTTCCCAGGTCCTGTCCATTGGGTATCGCTGATTCCTAAAACATCGATGTTTAGTCTATTCATTTCTTGTTCAACATGAGTCTTTAATGCAGTGGTTCCCCGTTGCCTTCTGCATCCTTCCGCCGTTGACCATCCTTGGTTCATCCGCGTTCGAGACCGATTTCTCGATCTCTGGACAAAAGAGTGCCCTTCCACATACTAGCTCCTCCGCCCGAAGCCGTTGGCCAGTAAATGGTGGAATCGCTTATACCGGCAATGGCGGCAATCATTCGGTGAATTACCTGTTGGTCTACGGGAGGTATTTTATTTCCCTCCTACCCACCGGTAAACCGGGTCGGGCATTCCCCTATCCGCCACCTGGAGACGCGCTCTATAGGGGTTACAGATCTGTGTCTTATATGTGATATCAATTCACCGTTAATCCACGGCTTAAGTTTGTTCCTATAGTAAGTTTTTCTTGTGGTATTGCGTGTTTTGCAATTGTCAATGATGCTTATAAAATTATTCCAAACTTCGTCCGGATGTTCTAGACTTCTCAGTAGTAACGGCCAATTAACATCACGCAATTGGAGAGAGAGGTTTTCAAAATTTGTTATTTCATGTATAACTGTATTTTCACCAAGATGATTATATTCAGTAATAGACTGTATGTTTGTTGTGATAATTATTATTATTTTTAGTTATTATTATTAGTTATTTTTTGTATTATATTTTTCAATGCTCGAATTGTCTTTTTATTGCGATATTTCCTGTTAGACAATACAACTTGATCTGATATGTAGTACCTACATGTAAAATTTTGTGTATGCTTATGGTAAGCTATCTTTAATTTTGTTAGAGAGAATGATTTCAATTTTCTATTTAGACTAACTACATACACTTTATCTCCAGTCAAATGTATTCTGTACTATTAAAAAATGAGATAAAATCCTATAAGTGATAAAGTAAATATGTATATTATTTACATACTAATTTAAATTGAAAATAATAAGGTCTAACTGGAAACATTATTAAAAGCAAGTGTTAATTTTTAAATCCAATTCAAATTCAATAGCTTTAAGCATAATAATTGGTATTATAAATAAATTATGTATTGATTCAATGGTAATAGATCTAAAACATTATTATTAATAGTATTTTAACAGTAAACATCATTATATTCTCTTAAATATTTTAATCTTTTTATCTCTAGTCTTCAACTACGTTAATGTTACTGAGCTTCTATTGCATGTTATCAATTATAGTAGTCACAAATTTAGATAAGAAAAGATCTAAAAATTTGCCACAAGATAAAGAATTTGAACTTTCATCAATGACATTTTATTAATAAAATGAATGTTAATAATTGAAACAAATACTTAACAATTTCAATCTAATAATATTTATTTTGAATATTAGTTGGAAATGGGATTAATTATTTTATTTATTTTATGTGTTTATGTTTTGACATCTATTCTTCTTCTTTAAATACCGTCTCTCAATGGTAGGTTGGATATCATCATCACTATCTTTCTTTATCTACTGCTGCTCTGAAGAGTTCTATAGAACTGCATTTAAACCAGTCCTTAAATTCTTCAACCATGACACTCTCCTTCTTCCCATACTCCTTCCTCCTCTTATCTTTCCCTTTATTATCAGCCTTAGCAGTTCATATTCTTGTCTCCTTATTACGTGTCCCAGATATTGTAACTTTCTTATTTTTATTGCTTTTATTATTTCGCATTCTTTGCCCATTTCTCGCAATACTTCCGTGTTAGTTTTCTTCAGTGTCCATGCTATTCTAAGCATCCTCCTGTAACACCACTTTCCAAAGGACTGTAACTTATTTATGTGTTCTTGCTTCAATGTCCAGCTTTCAAGTCCATGTTGTAGTATCGAAAACACGTAGCATCTCAGTGCTCTTACTCTCAGTTCTAATCTGCAGAGAATTGTTTTCATTTTTACAAACGCATTTCTTGCTATTTCTATCCTAGTTCTTATTTCGGTTGTTTGATCATTATTGTCTGAAATCCAGGTTCCTAGGTACATATTTGTATTTATCAACCCTTTTTATCGGTACATTTCCCAAATGTATGTTTGTTGGTAAATTTGTTTTCTTTGTTATTATCATGTATTTGGTCTTTTTTATATTCATTTTTAGTCCATATTTCTCACAGACACTGTTTGTTTTGTTTAGCAGTAATTGGAGTTGTTCAGCAGAGCTTGCCATAATCATAGTGTCCTCTGCATATCTTATGTTGTTAATAGATCTTACGTTAATTATTATTCCTTAACTTTGAGATAGTAATGCTTCTTCAAAAATGGCTTCACTATATACATTAAATAGCAATGAGGACATAATACATCCCTGCCTAACTCCTCTCCTACTATCATCTATTCCTTCTTCCATTTTTTATTTATATGACCATGTATTATTTTCAGGAATAATTTGAGAATGTGATATTGTTCTGTATTCACTGCAATATTTAGCGTTTGTATTTTTAGGGATAGCACAAAAGGTGGACAGTAACCATTGTTTCGGTGTGTGTCCTCTTTTGTATACTGAGTTAAATAAGTCTACTATAATGTCTAAGATTTCATCATTCATGCATTTTAAGATTTATATAGGGATTTTGTCTGGACCTAATGCTTTACCATTGCTAGACCAAAATTTTGTTTATAAAAATTTAAACAAATAAAAATAAAAGACTTAAAACGATAGGAAATAATTCAACATTTTAACAACATTCAAAACAACAAACACTAATCCTAAATCTAACAATGAACAAGAAAGAACAAAGATGTTTATAAAATATTTTTCGCAGGGTATTTATAAAATACCCTGCGAATGCCATCCCTGAGCACAAACACTGGTTAATACGGTTGCGATGTTTGATTTATTGCAGAAGATGCAAAATCCATTTTCGCTTTCTAGTCGGCATACAAATTCGATTTTAAGTACCTTGCAAAAGAACTTACTTTACTTCTTCGTCGCTTAGTTTTAATGTAACAAGATAAAGGCGCTCGGATATAGACTGTTTAAAGTCTATATCCTGTTCAAAATTATTTTGCATCTACATAATATAGTTGCCGTTTTTTTATATCTATTTTTTATTCATTAAAAATTGCGTCTATATATTCCAGATCGAACAAATACGAAGAGCAAACAAACTATGGACATCCGATAGCTTATTTTTAAGAGAATTTTTATTAATCCCCAGCGAAGAATCTTCTAGCTCGAACATTAGTCAAGAACAACCACAGGCCTTGTCTCAATCGACTGTCACTTCTCCATGCAGCTCTAGTTTCGATGAGGAGGACATAGATGGGTTCCTAAATAAAATAGACGCAGCAATAGCATCGAACAAACAGGGTGTAGAAAAAACCACAAGAAATAGCGAGTAAGTAACAATAAGATTTAGTTTTAGAGAATTGTCTTTATAACGAGATTATTAATTTATTCTGATTATTACTGCTAATCCACTGAGTGCATGTACCAAAACTTGAGTGTGCGTTGAACGCCAATGTACAAAAATGTGTAATAGTAAGGTAACAAAAACCAAATTAATTAAGGCTGGTTAGCGGAATGTGCCTCCTGGACTCCTTGACTCCTTGACACTCAACAGGGGATTCGGCCAATTTGCGTGCCCTACAGAGACCGTAAAATGAGAAAATTAATGACAAGGTAATAAAAAAAAAAATGAATAAACTATCAATCAAAGTGATAAACTATGGAAGTTGCTCTAAGATGTGATAGAGCCAGGAAAGTTTTAACATATACCTTCCAAGGTATCTTGTAAAGCTGTATACCCCTTTTGTTGAAATGAAAAGGAAAACAGGAATTATTTGAAATATTCAGCCTTCATAACAAATTTAATACCTAGCCAAATATATACAGTCTAATTCTTACTGCCACCCACCACCATTTAGATACAGTTAACCTAGTTACTTTTATACTAAAAAAAATTCCCTGGTTATATAAAATTGATCCTTGATTATCTGAATTTATAAATAATAAAATATAAGAAAACATTTAATGATTCTACCTAAAAAGGTAATTTACTTGCCTACTAAAGATGTAACTCTGTACTTCGGCTTTAAATTAAATGTCCTAATAAAGTAATAAGGACACTATCCTGACGGGATAGATGCCCAAGGATTAAATATATAATAATAAAATATAAATACCGAACTCTCTGATTAAATCTGTACACATAAAACCGTACAATAAAGTTAGTAGAGGATATAAAACCTAAACCAGTAGTTGACAATTAGTCCTTAAATGTTATTTAGTTTAATTTAAAAAAATGACGGGTCTTTATTATAAGATGAAATAGTACGATTTAAAGTTAAAATAAATATATATACAAAAAAAATTATTAAAATTAATGAATAAAACTTAATACAAATTAAAAGTGTTCACACTCTAAATGGGAGAGGTCTTTCTGGCTGGTTCCCTGAACTTGTCCGGGAATAGTCTTATAGAGATCTGGACCTCTGGAGGAACAGCTAAGAGTGAAGGGTAAAGGTGTAAATCCAATAGGGAATAACTTAATTATTTTTTTCTTCAAATAAACCCCAAAAAGAGAATAAAGAATCCTTGACTCCTGATTTTAACTTCTTCAGTAGGCTAAAAAGAACATTTGTGATAGAGTTCCTTCTTACTCTTTATATTAAGTAGGGAAAAGTACAAGGTTTGTTAACCTTGAAATATAGTACAAAAAGTTACTGAGGAAGCTTGTATGAAAGCAAAAAGCCTTAATGATTTTGTAATTAATGTAACCTTCGAATGGTTTGACACTATTTTATGTAAAATAGATTGATTAAATAGATAAGTTTAACGGAAAGCATGCTCTGGATATATTTTAGAGTATAAAAGAACGGTATGAGACAGAATATTTTTATAGATAGCCTTAATAGATAGTAGATAGTTTTAAAGATAGATAATTATATGTTTTTAAGGCCGGGAAGTAAAATTGAAAATTGACGTATGATTTTATGTTATTACTATATTTCAATCTAGAGTATTTCTTAATAAAATGAGGTGATAAACGTCAGATACATATATCAACTATCAAAGAAAAAATGACAATATTTTAGAAATCAAAATGGTTGATGGTATTTATACTTTTTATTGATAATTAGATCCACTTACCGGCTCAGAGTGGCTACAAATCAAACGGTTCACACAACAAACAAAAAAACTAAAACTTTTCTCCAACTTTCTCTTCTTCAAACTGCGGTAGGCTTTCACGGCCATCATCTAACTTGTTAAACTGTTTGTTCGGGCTATTAGGCCGTTGTCTTCTGAGATTAGTTCTCGACGTTTTGCCTACACTAGGGGTTGGCATCTTCTGGAGATGTTAATGCTCCGCTTGTAAGCAGAAACTGACGCTACATTGTACTACGGAGGCAATATTTATATTTCCCATCTGCCTCCTCTCCACTGGTTTCGGCTTGAGGAGGCGTGTCGTTGTAGTAGCTTTTCTTTCTTCGTGTTTGGCGGGAAGGACGTTTGTGGATTTTAATATTGGTATCCATGTCTTGTTAATTTTCAGTCCTTCTTCTATCCGATTAAAATTATTTGGGTGCTTATATATTTCCACCGCTTCCCGATACAACCGTGGGTAGTACTGTGAAGTTTTGTCCAGTATCTGTGTTTTTTCAAACAGTCTTCCCAAAGCGTGTTCGGCAACGGCATATTTGTCGATATGTCCTAAACGACAATGGCTTTTATGTTCATTTATCCTTGTATTTCTGTGTCGTTTTGTGGTTCCCACATATACCATTCCACATTTACATGGTATTCGGCATACTCCGGCCGTTGCTAATGGGTCGCGTTTGTCTTTCACCGATCTTAAACAATCCTTGATTTTCCTTGTAGACTTGAAAATGGCCTTTACGTTGGATTTCTTAAGTATTCGCCCAATTCTGTCCGTTACCCCCATATAACAGTAAAAAACGCTTTGTCTTTACATTCTGTTTCTTCGTCCTTTCTTCTAGAGACGTTGTTCATCGCCTTGTGTATTTCTCTTCTTGTATAACCATTAGAGATGAGCGCTTTTTCAATACCTATGTTGAAGTTCACTTTGGAGATGTTGTGGTTCACAAATTCTCTTCGCCCTCTCCTCCAGAGTTTTGATGATACCTTGTTTTTGGCTTGGATGATGATTTGAGTTCCTGTTTAGGTATCTGTCCGTGTGTGTAGGTTTTCGATACACTTTATGTCCTAAGCAACCTTCCTTTCGATTTACTAATACATCCAGGAACGCTAGTTGTTGATCTTTTTCTGTTTCCATCGTAAATTTAATATTTGGATGTAGTGTATTTATATAAGCCAGGAAATCGTTAAGTTTTTCTACTCCGTGACCCCAAATCACAAAAGTGTCATCAACGTATCTAAACCATGCCCTTGGCTTGTATGCTGAGTCCATTACCCTCTTCTCTAAATGCTCCATGAAAAGGTTGGCTACGACCGGTTTTAGTGGGCTTCCCATTGCTACTCCATCCATCTGTTTATAAATCTGGTCTTCCCATGAAAAGTAGGTGGTAGTCAGGCAAATACGGTATAATTCCACCATATCCTTGGAAACTATTCCCTCAATTAAATTCAGAACGTCTTCTAGGAGGACTCTTGTAAATAGGGAAACCACATCAAAGCTAACGAGAATGTCAGATTCCTTCTCTTCTTCTCCGAAAAAAATTAATATTCATCAAACAAATTTAGCACTTCTTGGGCCGCCTAATTTTTTATTAAACCAACTTCTCTCCCCCTAAGTTAAAACAAGAGTGAACGCTAATTGCTAGTCGGATAGGCATCTCTGCAAAAACTGCCGCTTGGAGTCGCTGCTTAATACCAACGTAGAAATTACAAATTACTAAGAGATATCGACCGAATATTGATCTATAGATTTTATTTAAAGTAATGCAAGGATTATTGAAGTGACGGACGTGTTACATGCATTTACTATGTATGTATTAAACAATTTCAAGTACTTTTAGTTTTGTTTTCTCTCTGTTTCGGTTAAATAGAAACAACGTTAATGGTCTAAAAAAATTCGAAAAGTAGTTTAGCCCACTCCTCATTTATCTGAGGTACAGACACAATGTCCAAATTGCCAATTACTAACGCTACATATACTGAACGATATTCTTGTGTTTTAAACTGAGTTTTTGCTTCTGAATTTTTTGCTTCTAAATGTGTGGCATTCTTACCGAGAGCCAACGTAGCAAAACAGAGATATAGGATATGGTGCACCAATATTTTAAACTATAAAATGTACATTGATACACTGAAACTATTTCTAACAAAGGAAGAGATTAGCTCGAAATAAGCAAGGTAGAAAAAATAAATGTTAAACATGAATTTAAAATATAACAAAATTGAAGGCTGTCTAGCAGGCTATTTTACACTCAAAGAAGGATTCGACCAATTTGCATGCCCTACAGAGACCATAAAATGTGACAACTGATAACAAGAAAACCAAAAACAACTTTGATCAAATACAAGGCAGTTTATCGAGCACAGTTTAATTAATTTAATCTTGCCCAAGTACTTTCGCTCCCTAGAGCATCTTCAAGGGCATTTCGTCAATTGTGGCCTATCCGACAAGAATAAAATGTTATAAATATAAAATGGTACATCACACTACACTACACAAGGACAAACACTTTAAAATTTTAAAATAGGCGAAGCTACATTGTCTACGGAAGCCGGAGACAGAATGGACCAAAACCAAAATCCAAAAAGGACTAACTAGGTGAAAATATAATTGGTAAAATATGGAAGGTGCTCTAAGAGATGAGTGGACGCCAGGAAAGTATTAACAGATATTTTTTGAGGTACCTTGTAATGCTGTATAGGTTTACTATTATGCTGAAACAAAAAGGACAGGTACTAATTTAAATATTTAGTCTTAACAACAAATTTAATGACTACTAAAATTATATACAAAATATTTTAATTCTTCTACTCTAAACATCAACTCTTATGTACCGGGTGGTCCAATAAGCCGATCTCTCGGCTATATATCAGAAGCTATTCATGTTATAACTTTAGGAGAAAAAATTCCTTAGTAAAAGTGGCCAAGAGAAGTCGCTGGAAATAACTTTCAAGTTTCTGGGTTAACCGCTAAGAGGCGTAACCTGTGAAGAAAACTTTGAAAACCAGTTTTTTGGGAAATATGCAAAATTATACCAAGTGTTAAATAAGTAAACTAGAAAGAGGCCTAAATTCGGCACAAAGCTGTTCAAGTAATTTTTTTTTATTTTTTTCAAATAAAGGGTGGGGGCGAGTGGGAAAGTATTTGTGGATAAATACTTATAACTTTGGTTTGGTAAACCGATTTTAACGATATTAGTGTCATTGGAAAGAGTGTGGATGATTTAATTTACATCTACT